ATAGAAAACTGTGTTTATGTGTAAGATGTACTTTTCTCTACATACAACTTACACTCATATATTCATGCCAAAGGAGTAGAAAATTGACATAAGTAAATAACTTAATATCACTTGATTTTAGATAATGTCAGCCTGTGGTCAGAAATTTACACTTAGGTTTGAGGGAGACAGTTTTAACTAATCATTCCATATGCTCCCCAAATTCCTAGCTCCTTTGAAGTTGGGAAGACCAGGTGGCCAATGAAATGTGAGCAGAAGCCCCAGACATTCCTTCTGGGTGGAAGTAGTGAAAAACCTACCTGAGATCCTCTTGTCTGTTTCTCTGCTGCAGTGACCAAGGAGCTGGTGCAGCCACAAGGTGGCAGAGCCTCTGCCATCGTTACCCTGAAGTAAGACTGTCTCCCAGTCTGTAATGCATATGTGACATAAGCAAGAATTAAACCTTTATTATGTCAGATGCTGGGATTTCAGAGGCACCTGGGTGGCTCAGTCAGTTAAGCATCCTACTGTTGATTTCAGCACATGTCATGATCTTGCAGTCGTGGGATCCAGCCCTGCATCGGGCTCTGTGTTAACAGCACAGAGACTGCTTGGGATTCTCTCTCTGCCCCTCCGCTGCTCATGCTTGCTCTCTCTCTCTCTCTCATAAATAAATAAATAAACTTAAATACTAAGTTCATACAGTTCTCTGTATCTTGCACCCTCCATAGCAGCAGCTCAAGGCCACCTTTAGTCATCCTGAGACTGGTCATATGGGATTTGACTTCCTAGCTGTGAAAGAAAAGGTGAGGTAAAGAATAGGACTTTAGGATAGAGGAAAGTTAAGAGATCCCTTCTTGTGAGTGCAAAAGTGATCTTACTAACACAAACAAGAGGTAGATGGAGTTGTTTTGGATTTTTCTAACCCCCAGTCCCTTATGAAATAAACCTAAATTACACTTACGTTGTGTGAGAACCGATAATGGTGTAGAGACCTAAAGATAGTAATGACAAAGAATGAGTGGGATTTCTCACCCCACTAGGCAAGTACATTGTATCACCTGTTTTCCACCAGTTAATAATGAAAAGTGATATGTGGCAAGGAGTGGAGAAATTAGTTTACAAAGAAAGATGTAAAATGAATTTTCCTTAAATCAATGAGTGATATTCTCTATTGTATCTGAATTTTTTATAATGAACTTGCATTATTTTTATAATTAGAAAGATGTATTTCTATTTTGAAAAAAAATTACTGTTAGCAAATGAAGAATTAGTAATTGTTTCTTCCACTGACCTGTATGCAAGAGCACCTAACACAAACAATGCTTAGCAGCTTCTTTAACTGTTTCATTCAAAGGCTGAGTTCCCTGATGGCAGATGCAGGATTGGAATTTGAGAAGCAAGCACAGTGGAGGCTCAAATATGTGACTTGCCTATTGAATGACTCTACCTACACTGTGCAGATTTACCTGTCATCTCTTTCATTTCTGGGATTATTTGCTTTTGTTTCAAGGGATATTCCAAATAGCTTTGTGGGCTCTGGGCTGGCCCATAAGTTCACATTTAGCAGGGTCCAGTGATGCAATAATGGAATTGCCAAAAACAGCATGGCATCATTACTCTCCCAGAAAAAATGAGGCAATCAATTATAACACCAGTCCCCTATCTTTTTATACTTTTGTATTGCCCAATTACTAAATGTAGGTGAGTACATCAGAAATCATTGTTATAGCTATAGATAAAATTCTTGTTTTCTTATTACCCATTTTAGCTCCTTTTTCCTTTGCTAGTTATTTGTCTTAGTCTATATCTTAATCTATGAACAGCTGGAGGTCATTTTCTAGATAAGAAATTCAACCAATTTATTTCAATTTTCTCATTTTTAAAAAGTTTTGGCTACTAGGAGCATAAGATAAGATTTCATTTGTGATAAATTACCAAATTTCAAGTAAGTGGTAAATGAAAATTGCCTGGTATTGTGTAAGGAGGGGTAATTTAAACTCTTTGTGGGAAGCAATTGGTATTTTAAATAAGCCTTCTGTTGACTGTCTAAAACTATTTTAAAGGGCTCCATGCAGCACTGTGTCTTTAAATTTACTTTACTATTATAGTCATTTTACTAGCTACAGAACTACAGCCATCTATCTCTGGTTGTCTCTTTCTAACACCCACAGATGTGTCCACCCACACACTCACCCACGCAAACCTACACTCTGACTCACATTCAGAACAATTGTCAAAAAATCCCCACTCCCTGTCTAACTAAAATGTTCCTTTCAAACACATGCTACTTGTTTGATCTATTTCCATGTATCTGTGAGTCAGCTAAGTCTAGTCTGATCTACCCAGTAGATGAGAGCCTACATGTATGTTTTTTTTCATATGGATTTGGCAATTCTGATACATATCCAAGCATTTGAGATCATAAAAGCCTGGTGAGCAGTTTTTTACTCCCAAAAGCTTTGACATCAAATGTGTGGGGTTTTTCCTTACACCAACCAAGTTTCCAACTCTCCAGACACCAACGATGTGTCCTATAATTCAATTCTGACACTAATGATCAGAATTAGCAAAGACCCAACAGGTTGAGGGCTCATTCCCACAAGACTGCCCCTACGTCAGACACCAATCACAAATCCCAGGCCCACCATATTTCTGAGGGATAGGCTATAAATTAGATGTTCCCATAACCCCTTTCTCAGGTTCCATAATTTGTTACGATGGCTCACAAATGTCAGAAACAGTTTACTTGCTATTACTGGTTTATTACAAAGGATACAACTCAAGAACAGCCAAAAGGAAGAGATACATCAGGCAAGACATAAGGTGGGATGGGTGGGCAAAGAGCTTCCATGCCCTCTCTGGATGTATCACCCTCCCAATACCTTGATATGTTTACTCACCATGATGCTCTCTGAACCTCATCAGTTAGTGGTTCTTGTGGAGATTGCCCTACATAGGCATGATTGTGATTAAGTCAGTCTCCAGCTTCTCTCCCCTCCATGGAGGTCAGCAGGGTGGGGCTGAAAGTTCTAGCTCACTAACAAGGTTGGCTCCTCTGGCAAGCCCACAAGCTAAAGCCACCTAGGGGCCCACCAAGAGACATCTCATTAGCATATACAACTCAGGTATCATTGAAAGAGTCTTGTTATGAATAGCAAAAGATGCCCCTGGCATCCCTTTCAGGAAATTCTAAGGGTAGAAGCTCTATGTCAGGAACCACAAGGACCAAGTATACATTTATCACATTTGGGAACATTTACTATAAATGAATTCTTATCCAAATGCTGCCAATTATTTCTAGTTTAAAATATTATTCTAGAACTGGCAACAACTCCAGGGTTATCATTTCATTTAGCCTGAAGAATGAGAATAACTCCAATTTAATATTACAAGCATCTACCTGGACTATTGAGCACTTTCACAAGGGAAGAAATAAAGGATGCAACTTCTTTTATTAAATGACAGCAGAGCATCATTTCACTTACATATAAATCTTTTATCCAGTGTCATCTAGTATCTGAATCACAGCTGGGATCCAGATAGAAAGGATAAGACTGAAATCTCCAAATAAATGCACTAAAGATTTTTTTTTTTTTTTTTTTTGTAAATTGCTCATAGGAGTGACCCTTGGACATACACTCTATGCCAATTTAATTTAATTTTACATAGATTATTAACAAGTTTGTTTGTGTGACTTGCCAACCAGTCAGCCAATTAGGAGCATCAAATTAAAACAACAAATTTGAAACAGAGGCTGCTAAAGATAGGTGGAATTCTGTCAGTCTGAAATGACAGCTGACAATCTCATAGCAAAGCATACAGCAAGATATTTGTGAGAAATAAATTAAAAGTCTGTGGACATTCAGTGTAGGAATAAACCATTCTGTACATTTCAGGACTATCTGAGGGTATCATTGCTTTGTAGTATAGAGAAGAATGGAGTTTTATAATTCTGATAATGAATCTTCAAAAGAAAAAGTTTGGCTCTGTTTGAGAGGTCAGAAATATGTAAGCCATTTATTTATATAGAAATAGTTTCAGGGGTGCCTGGGTGGCTCAGTTGGTTGACTTGATTTCTGCTCAGGTCATGATCTCAGTCTTGAGATTAAGCCCCATATAGGGTTCCACACTAGCCTGCTTGGGATTCTCTCTCTCCCTCTGCCCCTCCTCTTCTTTCTCCTCTCTGTTTCTCTCTAAAAAAAAAGAAAGAAGAAAAGAAAAAGAAAGAAAAGAAGAAATACCTTTAAGTAAATTTTTATTATTATTTATTTTTTAAAGTTTATTTATTTACTTTTGAGAGAGAGAATGCACAAGTGGGGGAGGAGCATAGAGAGAGGGATACACAATCCAAAGCAGGCTCCAGGCTCTAAGCTGTCAGTGCAGAGCCTGATGTGGTGCTTGAACCCACAAACAGTGAGATCATGACCTAAGCCAAAGTCAGGTGCTTAACCAAATGAGCCACCCAGGTGCCCCTCAAGTAAATTTTTAAAAATAACAAAGTAATATGTATTCATTTTGTTTAAAAATTCATTCTTTATAAAAACATAAAGAGAGAAGTAAAAACTTTCGCTTAACTGCCCCTACTCCTTCAATCATGCTCTATAGAGGTCCTTCCATTTTCTACAGTTAATTTTTTTTTTTTACATTTTGATACTTAATGGGGGAAACTTCAGAAATCTAGGAAATTCATTTATCTAGAGAACCCATTTTCTCATGATCTTGGCTAAAGGAAGCAGGGCTATATCTATAACCACAGTACGCAAACACTAATCTGGTTAGGATGTTTTCCTACAGAAAAAGATAACACTAGCCCTAAATATGGAGATCAAAGATGATATTATCTTTCCTTGATTCTAGCCTCTATATTCACATTTCTTTATAGCCACTGTTCTAACTACTTCTCATTGGCTTTTTGGATACAAGACAAAATTCTTCAAGAGTACCACTGCTTATTTCAAAGATGAATTCAGTCATTGATGCCTGCATGGCTCAATGTCCTTTTTAAAATACGCCAACAAGCGCTCTCTTCAGCAGCACATACACTAAAATTGGAACAATATAGAGATTAGCATGGTGCCTGCACAATGATGACACACAAATTTGTGAAGTGTTCCATATTTTAAAATAAAATAAAATAGAATAAAATAAAATAAGGCAATAAATCTAAGAACCTTTGTAGGAGTCACAGTAAAAGAGTAGGCAGCTTGGTTTAGCAGGAGGACTAGCCTCTTGACCTGATCACTTCCTGTCTGGAACAGATGGAAAAAGCACCAAACTTCCACTGCTACCATCGTATCATCTTTGGAGGTACCCTCTAACAGGAGCTGAGTTCCCATAGGCGCCAAATCAGTGTCAGTCATGGGCTCTAGGGTCTCAAGCGAAGACCTTGAGATAAGTCTACGCAGGAACCTGATGTGCGCCAAAAATATCTGTCAGAATAAAAACAGCCATTTCTTATTTGCTTGTTTTTTAAAACAATAGGCCACATTATGGTACAGAATTTAAATATATGCTTATACCATTTGAGGTCAGAGTTTGCTCAGCAAGAAACAAATTTCCATTTGTAACCACTCTTTTCTTATGAACTCTATGTAGATTGCAATTGAGACATATCTATAGGAAACTTAAAACTCTCACAAGTAGCACATGAATTTTTGATGCATTCAAAATACAGATTGGTGAGGTTATCAAAATAGAATCATATTTCAAAATAAGAAATACTGTGAGTCAGGACAGCCATACCAATTATAGCAACCCTGTTTCTGAAAGCCTTAGAGCCTGGGTCAGCACAATGGTAACAAAGTAATGTTTTATCAGAATGATGTCATTAGGAAAAGGTGGCAATATTTTAACCCTTATTCCTAAGAGTTCCAAAATGCTTTTTTTAAAAATGTTTATAAATATTTGCTTTTGTGCCATTTCAGGGGAAGCTTTCCATACAAACACTGGCTTCCAATGAGTCATCCCCAGTCTGGTTCACACCCAGAAGCTTCCTGCTTGGCTATCAGTGAATATTGGGCTCAATAATTCCCTTATTTTTATAACTTGCTTGAACGAAGATCAGAAAGGTGGTGGAGGGAGAAAGACATACTGAGATAAATATAAGAACACTCTTGTTTCCTTAACAGAGTTTGACAAATATGCATCAATACCCTAACTACCATTTAAGCTGAGCTTAATGCTGGGATTGTGATGGATTTGTGTTTGACCTTTTAAAAAACATCCAGATGATGCTGTTACTTTTTTTAGTCATCATGTATATTTGCTAGCTAAGGACACCCCAGATTTTGAATTACAATATGCAATTTTACTTTTACTGTTATTGGATCTGAAAACCATCAACTAAAACAACAGTAGGAATAAATTACATTTCCCCAAATTGAAATTGAAGAGAATGAGGGTCCTTACTTAAGATTTTTAAATAAATATTTCTTCAGCTAGAATTACAAAACCTTTATGTAAACAAGGAACTGGAAGTGATGAAGCATATGAATTAGTAATAGTCTCTCTGTATTTTCATTCGTAAAGGGAAGAATTTGGGGTTGAAATGGCACAGTATGTATCTTGGGGGTAAAATGTCACTATGAAAAAACACTAAAATTTCTAGGCATAATAATGTGAATTACAGATCTTTAAGAAAAAATATAAGTGCCTTGCAAATTATGCAGTAGGTAAAATATATTATTTATTCCTTTTTATTGGATTAGAAGAAGGGTTGCAAATTCAGGGTACTTTTATCTTGAATTGCACTCTATGTACCTAGTCATACTTTGTTTGCATATTACATATTTTTAAAAATGTTTGTTTATTCTGAGAGAGAGAGAGCGCAACCATGAACGGAGGAGGAGCACAGAGAGAGAGAGAGAGAGAATCCCAAGCAAGCTCTGAGTTGCCACTTGCAGAGCCTGAAGTGGGTCTCAGTCTCTGAGTCACTGACCTGAGCCGAAATCAAGACTCAGACATCTAACTGACTGAGCCACCCAGGCAGCCCTGCATGTTACATATTAAATGCTTAGAAATAGTCTCTATTCTCTGTTACCTCCTAAAAATTCTCTCCCTGTTTTTCTTGATATGTGTATTTCTCTGTCTACATTTTATTCTTCCCAATTTTTATAAGGACTTGGATATAAAAACTCCATCACTTTTTCTTCACTTTAAGAAAAATTGGTCTGGGGGCGCCTGGGTGGCTCAGTTGGTTAAGCGTCCAACTTCGGCTCAGGTCATGATCTCATGGTTCGTGGGTTCAAGCCCCGCGTTGGGCTCTGTGCTGACAGCTAGCTCAGAGCCTGGAGCCCGCTTCTGATTCTGTGTCTCCCTCTCTCGCTGGCCCTCCCCTGCTCACTCTGTCTGTCTCTCTCAAAAAAATAAAACAAAACATAAAAAAAAAAAGAAAAATTGGTCTGATTCAACATTGGTGAATGACAACTGTCACTTAGCCCTCATGCGAAAAAGGGAATGAAGAGTGGTGAGGACTGTGGTAAAATAGAAAAGCACATGGTCTTAAAAAGCCCATTTAATGGCAGGAGATCTTCAATGTGCTGAACAGTAAAATTATGCAGCCAAAAATCCTCTATCCAGCAAGCCTGTCATTCAAAATAGAAGGAGAGATAAAAACCTTTCCAAGTAAACAGAAATTGAAAGAATTTGTCACCACTAAGCCAGCCCTACAAGAAATCCTGAGGGGGATGCTCTGAAGGAAAGGTTGCAAGGGACAAAGATACCAAAGACACCACCACAAACATGAACCCTACAAAAGATACAAAGACTCTAAACCCACATATTTCAATAATAACACTGAATGTAAACGGGCTGAATGCTCCAATCAAAACCCATAGGGTAGCAGAATGGATAAAAAAAACCCAAAATCCATCTCTAGGCTGTCTACAAGAAACTCATTTTAGACTGGAAGATACCTTCAGATTAAAAGTAAGGGATGGAGAAATATATATCATGCTACAGGAAATCAAAAGAAAGCCGGAGTAGCTATACTTATATCAGACAAACTGGACTTTAAATTAAAGACAATCACAAGAGATGAAGAAGGGCACTACATAATAATTACAGGGTCCATCCATCAGGAAGAACTAACAATCATAAATGTCTACGCACCGAATATGGGAGCACCTAAATATCTAAAACAATTAATCACAAACAGAAACAAGCTTATAGATAAGAATGTGCTAATAGCAGGGGACTTTAATACTCCGCTTACAGCAATGGATAGGTCAACCAGACAGAAAATCACTAAAGAAATAATGGACTTGAAAGACACATTGGACCAGATGGATCTGACGGATATATTTAGAACTTTACATCCTGAGGCCAGGGAATTTACTTTCTTCTCAAGTGCGCATGGCACATTCTCCAAGATAGATCACATACTGGGACATAAAGCAGCCCTCAATAAATATAAAAGAATAGAGATCATACCATGCACACTGTCAGATCACAATGCTTTGAAACTTGAAATCAATTACAGGAAGAAGTCTGGAAAACCGCCAAAAACATGGAGGTTAAAGAACACCCTTCTAAAGAATGAATGGGCCAATCAGGCAATTAGAGAGGAAATTAAAAAATATATGGAAACAAATGAAAATGAAAACACAACAATTCAAAATCTATGGGATGCGGCCAAGGCAGTCCTAAGAGGAAAGTACATTGCTCTCCAGGCCTATTTCAAGAGATTAGAAAAAGCACAAGTCCAAAATCTAACAGCTCACCTAAAGGAGCTAGAGGCAGAGCAACAAGAACGCCCTAAACCCAGTAGAAGAAGAGAAATAGTAAAAATTAGAGCAGAAATAAACAACATAGAGACCAAAGAAACAATTGAACAGATCAATGAAACCAAGAGTTGGTTTTTTGAAAAAGTAAACAAAATTGACAAACCTCTAGCCAGGCTTATCAAAAAGAAAAGAGAGAGCACCCAAATAGACAAAATTATGAATGAAAATGGACTTATTACAACCAACCCCTCAGAAATACAAGCAATTATCAGGGAATACTATGAAAAATTATATGCCAACAAATTGGACAACTTAGAAGAAATGGACAAATTCCTAAACACACACTCACTACCAAAATTCACACGGGAAGAAATAGAAAACCTGAACAGACCCATAACGAGTGAAGAAATCGAATCAGTGATCAAAAATCTCCCAACAAATAAGAGCCCTGGACCTGATGGTTTCCCTGGGGAATTCTACCAGACATTTAAAACAGAATTAATCCCAATTCTTCTCAAGCTATTCCAAAAAATAGAAGTCGAAGGAAAACTCCCGGACTCATTTTATGAAGCCAGCATCACTCTGATTCCCAAGCCAGACAGAGATCCAGCAAAAAAAGAGAACTATAGGCCAATATCCTTGATGAATACGGATGCAAAAATTCTCAACAAGATCCTTGCAAATCGAATCCAGCAGCATATCAAAAGAATCATCCACCAAGATCAAGTGGGATTCATTCCTGGGTTACAGGGCTGGTTCAACATTCGCAAATCAATCAATGTGATCCATCATATCAATAAAAGAAAAGATAAAAACCATATGATCCTGTCAATAGATGCAGAAAAAGCATTTGACAAAATACAGCATCCCTTCTTAATAAAGACTCTCGAGAAAGTTGGGATAGAAGGAACCTACTTAAACATCATCAAAGCCATCTATGAGAAGCCTTCAGCTAACATCATCCTCAACGGGGAAAAACTGAGAGCTTTCCCCCTGAGATCAGGAACACGACAGGGATGTCCACTCTCACCACTGTTGTTTAACATAGTGCTGGAAGTCCTAGCATCAGCCATCAGACAACAAAAGGAAATCAAAGGCATCAGAATTGGCAAAGAGGAAGTCAAACTTTCACTCTTCGCAGATGACATGATACTCTACATAGAAAACCCGACAGACTCCACCAGAAGCCTACTAGAACTGATCCAAGAATTCAGCCAAGTTGCAGGGTACAAAATCAACGTACAGAAATCGGTTGCATTTTTATACACCAATGATGAAGCAACAGAAAGAGAAATCAAGAAACTGATCCCATTCACAATTGCACAAAAAACCATAAAATACCTCGGAATAAACCTAACCAAGGATACAAGAGATCTGTATGATGAAAACTATAGAAAACTTATGAAGGAAATTGAAGAAGACACAAAGAAATGGAAAAACATTCCATGCTCATGGATAGGAAGAATAAATATAGTTAAGATGTCATTACTACCTAAAGCACTCTACACATTCAATGCAATTCCAATCAAAATTGCACCAGCATACTTCTCAAAACTAGAACAAACTATCCAAAAATTTGTATGGAACCACAAAAGACCCCGAATAGCCAAAGTAATACTGAAAAATAAAACCAAAACGGGAGGTATCACCATCCCAGACTTCAGCCTCTACTACAAAGCTGTCATCCTCAAGACAGTATGGTATTGGCACAAAAACAGACACATAGACCAATGGAACAGAATTGAGAACTCAGAAGTGGACCCAAAAGTATACAGCCAACTGATCTTTGACAAAGCAGGAAAGAATATCCAATGGAAAAAAGACAGCCTTTTTAACAGATGGTGTTGGGAGAACTGGACAGCAACATGCAGAAGAATGAAACTAGATCATTTTCTCACACCATGCACAAAAATCAACTCAAAATGGATAAAGGACCTGAACGTGAGACAGGAAACTATCAACACCCTAGAGGAGAAAGCAGGAAACAACCTCCTTGACCTCCACCGCAGCAACTTCTTACTTGACACATCCCCAAAAGCAAGGGAATCAAGAGCAAAAATAAACTGTTGGGACCTCATCAAGATTAAAAGCTTCTGCACAGCCAAGGAAACAACCCAGAAAATTAATAGGCAACCAACGGAATGGGAAAAGATAGTTGCAAATGACATATCAGATAAAGGGTTAATATCCAGAATCTATAAGGAACTCACCAAACTACACGCCCGAAAAACAAACAACCCAGTGAAGAAATGGGCAGAAGACATGAACAGACACTTCTCCAAAGAGGACATCCAGATGGCCAACAGACACATGAAACGATGCTCAGCATCCCTCCTCATCAGGGAAATACAAATCAAAACCACACTGAGATACCACCTCACGCCAGTCAGAGTGGCTAAAATGAGCAAATCAGAGAACTCTAGATGCTGGCGAGGATGTGGAGAAACGGGCACCCTCCTACACTGTTGGTGGGAATGTAAACTGGTACAGCCCCTCTGGAAAACAGTGTGGAGGTTCCTCAGGAAACTAACAATAGAACTCCCTTATGACCCAGCAATAGCACTGCTAGGAATTTACCCAAGGGATATAGAAATGCTGAGGCATAGGAGCACATGTACCCCAATGTTCATAGCAGCACTCTCAACAATAGCCAAAACATGGAAAGAGCCTAAGTGTCCATCAACGGATGAATGGATCAAGAAGATGTGGTTTATCTATACGATGGAATACTACATGGCAATGAGAAAGAATGAAATCTGGCCATGTGTAGCAACATGGATGGACCTTGAGGGTGTTATACTGAGCGAAATAAGTCAGCCAGAGAAGGACAAATATCACATGTTTGCATGTATAGGAGGATTAGGAGGAACTTAACTGAGGATCATGGGGGAGAAGATGGGGGGAAATGGTGGGGGAAGGGGAGAGAGGCAAACCATGAGAGACTCTTGAATGCTGAGAAACAAACTGAGGACTGATGGATGTGGGGGGTAGGGAGGAGATGGGCATGGAGGAGGGCACTTGTGGGGATGAGCACTGGGTGTTATATGGAAACCAATTTGACAATAAACTGTAAAAAAAAAAAAGCCCATTTAAGATGAGGGTCCACTTCTAAGCACCATTAAATATGGCAATAGCCATATCTTACAAATTTTCAAGAGAAAGGCTGAAAATATTTAAATTTATGACTCAATGCTTTAAAAACAAGCAATTCCATTTTAAGAGGCTCAAAACACTACCAGTTACCACTGTAAAATGTGAGAGATTAAATATATGTGCTCAATTCACGTTAGGGGAGGAGAGAGAGCAAACGTGCTGAGAACCCTGGAGTGGTGTCCTTCATGGGCTGACTTCCACCTCACATACACTGTTCCATGGGACATTTAGTGCCATCAGTCATCTCTGATCCACTTATAGAAACTTTTCCCTAATTTGCTCCAGAGTGAATACTCCACACTTGAATTCATACTTGCTGGGATAGATGGAAAAATCAATCTTAGGGCAATTATAACAATAACAGTAATGAACTTATGTTGAGAGGCACTATATAGTCTTTCACTTAACAAATTATCTACTGAATGCCTGCTATGTGCTAGAATTATGCTTTTATGATGTGTTAGGCACCTTGTAGCCTTTGGAAATAAATTAGGTTTTTAAAAAAGAAAAAAAGCCTGTCCTTATGGAAATTAGATTCATCGGGGAGAAATATAATGAATTAAGTATATTAAGTTACACTTAATAAGTACTATTAGTGGATGATGATAAATGCTATGGAGAAAACTAAAGTGAGAAAGAATAATTTCTCTGGTTCTCCAGCATATAATTGGAATGGAATATTTGGTAACTGGCAGAACCTCCACATTGATTTCTTTTTTTTAATGTTTATTCTTTTTTCTTTTTAAAAAACACTTTAATATTTATTTTTGAGAGACAGAGTGTGAGCGGGGGAAGGGCAGAGAGAGGGAGAGAGAGAGAGAGGAAGACACAGAATCGGAAGGCTCCAGGCTCTGAGCTGTCAGCACAGAGCCTAATGTGGGGCTTGAACTCATAAACCATGAGATAATGACCTGAGCTAAAGTCAGACACTTAAGCAACTGAGCCAGCCAGGTGCCCCATGATTTCTTGTACTGTGGGATAAAAGTTGTATTAGTGAGGAAGACAGAATATCTAAAACTGATTTGCACCTTCACATGATAGTAACTAAAAGCTATTGTTCATGTCCTGGGGGAAATGGCAGAGTTTTATGCTACTGTTTAAAACCTAAAGAATACAGGGTAATGGCCCTCATTTATCACCATTTAATTCACCAGTCTGGCCCTTACCAAAATGTCTCATCCTGAGGAATAATAAAGTCAACCAAACAGTTGCCTTGATTGTAGTTACCACACCAGATGTAACATCTCTGCTGTAACAAATTAATATGGCTTCAGGTACCCTGCACTGATTAGCAAATACATTCATTTCTATTGCTATTGAGGAACAGGAACAGAAGTATATGAATGAGACAGAATGAGACAGAGACATTTACAGTCTTGACAAGGGTTAAATATTTTGCCCTCTGTCACAATATAACCCAAGGAACCTGGACTGCCTGGACATTCTGCATATCATCACAATGATCCACTATACTGAAGGTACCATGTGTGGTAGTTTTTAAGTATGCTTACAAATTTTTTGATATTTCTTCCTTCAAGAGAAAGAAATTAATGCCTGTCCCCTTGAGTGTGGGCTGACCTTAGTGACTTACTTCTAACAAATAAAATATCGCCAAAGTGATGATATGTAACTTCTAATATATTACAGCTTTATTCTTTGTTCTCTCTTGGATCACTTTACTGTGAAGGAGGTCAGGTACCATATGATAAGGATACTGAAGCAGCCCTTTCAAAAAAAAATTTTTTTAATGTTTTATTTCCGAGAGAGAGAGAAACAGTGTGAGCAGGGGAGGGTCAGAGAGAGAGGGAGACACAGAATCAAAACAGGCTCCAGGCTCTGAGCTAGCTGCCAGCACAGAGCCCGACGCGAGGCTTGAACCCACAAACCGCAAGATCATGACCTGAGCAGAAGTCAGACGCTCAACCGACTGAGCTACCCAGGTGCCCCTGAAGCAGCCCTTTCAAAGAGATTCATATGGAAAGGAACTGAGGCTTGCTGTTAAAAGCCATGTGAATGAGCCATCTCAGAAGCAGATCTTCCAGCCCCAGTCAAGCCTTCAGATGACTGCAGCCCTGGACAGCATCTTGCTTAAAACTTCATGAGAGACCTTAAGCCATACTGCCTGGCAGATCTATGCTGTTAGAGGTATCTATGATGGGAAAAGACACTTTATAGAATTTACAGCAAGCCCTAATAAGAGAATCACTATGTATACTTCAGAGTTCTGTAATAATGTTATACCATCTGCAGCAGACATCATTAAAAGTATAGTTCTTGATGTGCTACTAGGCCTTGGTAGAGATGGAACATCTGATCTTGGGACATACGGTGGCTATGCAGCCACAGCTGTTCATTACAGGGTATGTTCTGTCAGATCTCCTAAGTCATAGTCATGTGAGCCCAATAGAAGTCCACAGTGAGATGGAAATGGTACTTTTAGGGTTAGTCATGAACAGGGACAGAGGTCAAGTTAGCTGCATATCTAGTGGCTTAGACTCCTGTTTCCCTCACCACTATGGCACCATTGCCTCTCTTTCAGTTTACAGTCATGTTGGGGTTTTTTTGGTGGGGGAAGAGGGGTGGGTAGAAAGGAGGACAGGCAAGTCCCTATGATTACTTCATGGAAAAGAAAAAAACCTGTTTTGATATACAGATGGGTCAGCTTGGTATATGGCAAAACCAGAAATGAACCACTATATTATAATCCCTATTCAGAGATGGCCCTAGAGGATAGCAGTGTTTGGAAGAGTGTTGGTGGTACACCTGGTCATCTACATTGTATGGAAATAAAAGTAGCCTAAAATTAAAATATAAGACTCCTGTGATGAATAGTGTAGCTGCTTAGTCATGGGTTTGGAAGAAAGATTAAAAAATTAGGAATAAGTAAGTCTAGGGAAGAGGCATGTAGCTAGATCTACAGGAGTTCATTCTTCCAGCTGCTGGAAGTATGGCAGGACTCCTATCCAGAATATATTAAAAACCATGGGGGCACCTGGGTGGCTCAGTCAGTTAAGCAGAATATATTAAAAACCTTTCACATCTCAATTATAAGGAATGATTCAATCCAATTTTAAAATGGGCAAAAGATTTGAACAGACACTTTATCAAAGAGGATATATGGATGGCAAATTAGCACATGAAAAAATGTTCAAAATCATTAGTCATAAAGGAAATGAAACGCTTTCACAGAAGAATAGCTGAAATTAAAAGGACTGAACACACTGTACACTTAAAATTAATACAATGTTATATGTCAATTATATCTCAATTAAAATTTTTTTTTAAAAAAGACTGAGTATACCAATATTGGTGAAGATATAGAGGAACTGTAACTCTTTCACCTCTGGTGAGAATATAAAATATTGGAAAACAATTTGGTGGTTTCTTTAAAAGTTAAATGTGCACTTACTATATATGATCCATCTATTTCACCTCTAGTTATTAACCCAAGAGAAGAGGAAGCTTATGTTTACATAAAGACATATATGCTTACATAAAGAACCACATATATTAAGTCTTTAATTGTATATATGTTTTAATTATATAATGCAAAACTGCAAACAACCCAAATATCAATCAATAGGTAAACAATTTTTTTTTTGTTTTGTGTTGGTATATCAACACAATGGAATACTATTCAGCAGTAAAAATAAATGAACTCTAGAGTCACACAATAGCATGTATGAATCCAAACTAATTATACTGAGTGAAAGTAGCTAGATCAAAAAAGACTGTGGTGTAATGATTATATTTATCTAATATTCTAAAAAATACAAATTAACTTACAGTGACAGAGGGAGATTAGTGGTTGCCTGATGATAGCATGTTAGGTTGGAGAGAAAGAGGAGGAGTTAGAAAAGGGCTTAAGAAATCTTTTGGGAATATGCACATTAATTTTAAATATGTGAAATTGAGTGTATGTCATTATATTAAACTTTTAAAAGAAAAAAGATTAAATCTCATGTCAGTGATGTCTAGTACCGGATCCTTGGTATCAAAGACCATAATCTGGAAATGCTTTTCCCATTAACACTCAAGGAAGTGACCTGAGGCAAGCCAAGGAGCTTAGATTATCTTTAGGTCAGGTCAGTGTGGAAGGCTGTTGGGAGTTTTAAGTCAGGAGATAGGTGATATTCACTTGTTCATCCCAAGAAAGTGTATGTCCAGGTAAATGGAGCTTCTTAAGTCTGAGATTATCCAGAAGCATGTGAAGGTCTGATAGGATGAGCTATGAGTGTGGAAGGGTCAGACCCAGATTAGGCAGAACTGGGTTTGGGCACTCAAGTAGAGCTACATTAATCCAGGAGATGTCTCAGAAGACCCAAACTCTGACCCTTTGACATCCAAGCCTAAGCCACTTAGCAAGGGTTGTAGGCAAGAGCAGACTCCCTGACAAGAGGTGGAGTTAGGTAGATGCCCCCAAATATGAATGTTCAGTGAGCCAAAGAATGAAAGGAAGCATGTAGGGAAATGATCAATGTGAAGAATACTGAAGAGGGTCCCCTGGGTGGCTCAGTTGGTTGAGGTTCCGACTTTGGCTCAGGTCATGACCTCACAGTTTGTGGGTTCGAGCCCCGTATCGGGCCCTGTGCTGACAGCCAGCTCAGAGCCTGGAGCCTGCTTCAGATTCTGTGTCTCCCTCTCTCTCTGCCCGTCCCCTTGCTTGCTCTCTTTGTCTCTCTCAAAAATAAATAAACATTAAACAAATTTAAAAAGAATACTGAATAAGCTAGCTGGCCCAGAGTGAAAAGTCTATAGTACATAAGAGGGAAAAATAATGTACCAGGGAACACTTTGGTGGGAGAAACAGTGGACACAAACTGGAATCTGAGGGCTTCTTAAAACCCAGTCTGAACAAGTGGAGCTCAGTGGGTGCCAGACAGGAATTAGCACATATAAGGAAGAAAGTCTTACTCTTCAGTATAGTGAGGGGTATAGTCAGATCAGAGGATGGATAAGAATCCTTTCTTATATGAACCCAGCAAGAATAGCCAAGGACTAATAGCCAATCAGAAGAATATATTCAAAGCAAGGCCACTGTTTGACAAAATGCCAGGGGAAGGAGCCAGTCCTTACTCACCAGTAGGGACACAGAGACCATAGAAGAATGAAAGTCCAGGGATTTTGCCCAAGAGCCAAGGAGAAGAATATATCCAGGTCAAAGCAGAAACTGGTGCCTATGGGGTGCTGATGGGAGATGTTCAGGTGGGGCCAAGCTAAGAGGCCTAAAAGCCATTGATTACAGCCAATTTTAAAAGAGGTTAGGACATACAGACACTAAAGTTGGTCAGAGAGAAATGAGACATTTACCAACAGATCTCTCAAGGACAAAGGCTACTTTTGAGATTGCCCAGGAACTCTGACTCTGCCCATTATGTCATATTCCTACAGAGTCATGGATTAATACCAGATTACTGGTATTGGGCCTTGGCAGCTAAGCAGAGGAGTTTAGACATGAAGTAATGGGCACTAGGAACCACTGCAAGTTTTAAGCAAGAGTACAACAAATGAAAAAGAAAATCAATCTGGCAAACTGGATAGAGAAAGAGAGAGCTTGTTAAGGAAGTACAGTTTGAAAGCTATTACAGCAACTAAGGACTTTATGGTGAGGACAGCAGCTGTGAGAAAAGGAGTTGCTGTCAGTGAGGTGGGAGATGAAGCCAGATTGCAGGAGATTAACAAGGTGATGAGTTGGTTGCCTGTATGTGGCCTACTGTAACAAAAACCACAACTATAGATGGATAGCTATGTAATAACACAAATATAGTAAAGTGTTAGCTGAAGAAAATAGGTGGTAGTGATGTAGTATTCATGGTATAGTGCTTTTAAATTTTTTGTTTGTTTGAAAATTTACACGATAAAATGACAAGAAAAAAAATGGCCAAAAACTATTCCCCTTCTTCTATCTGTGCCCTTATAATAAGATTTTATAGATTCTCCCATCAAAACAGTGGACTCTTTTCTACCCTGTGAATCTGAGTTGGCCACGCAACTTGATTTGGTCAGTGGGACATTAGCAAATGTGACATAGGCACAGGTTTGAAGATTTGGGCATTGGGGTTTACCATTTTTCTGATATTGGGAAACTTGCAACTGCTATCATATAGATTATCCTGGACTAGCCTGTTGTATGATAGACACATGGCCTAGTTACCCTCATCACTCTAAAGCTGACAACGAGCCAAGCACTAGACATGTTTGTGGGACCATTGACTCCCAGCTGATCACAGATGCATCAATGAGCCTCGCTGAGAGAAGAGCTGTCCAGCTAAGCCCATCCCAAATTGGCAACCCACAGTATTGTAAACAAATAATTGACTCTCATTTTAAGCCACTAAGTTTTAAGAAATTGTCTATGCAGCAAAAGCCAACTGATGCATTCTTTTTAGTATGCCTTTGATTCTATTCCAAGGGAACACCATACTGAGCCCTGTCTGCCTCTACTTGGCTCTGCAAAGTTTCAGGGAGGGTCCAGTGGTATCTAGGGGTTAGAGGGAGGGTGACATAGTATGGGGACAGTGTGACATGAGAGGATGCCATGGGGTGGAGCCAGTGTGACATTAGGGCAAGAGTCAATGTGACATGGGGGAAGACTCAGCTTGTTAGATGAGAGGGATCTGTAGCTCAGAGAGGAGGGAGTTTATTTTGAAGTTGAGGGCCAGTAAATGTCACATGGAAAGGTGAAGATCAGCCACACTAAGTGGACAGGTAAGTAAATGTAAGGGAACCAGGGAGCTGGAGTATTACTGGAGACAGTGGAATAAGGCAGACACACCTGGCCAGTTGAGATTTCTCTTTGTTAATAAAGTATAGCAAAGCTCTTGGCTTATATGCCATCCCTCAGTGGTCAGGCATTTCACCTTGGAGAAATTTGCCATACTACAATGGGAGGACAGACACTTTAGAGAGATGGGGTCTGATCTGGCTATATTTCCTCCCTTTGATGGCATCCTACTTGGTACAGAGAACTTTGCTCCTTTGAATGTCCCCACCCCTCCTTAATATTTCTCCCTTTGCAAAGCTTCCAGGAGATCAGGCTTATTGTAGTTCACTCCCTTCCCAGATCTTCTTACTAAAAGAGAGCATGGAGATCACAGATATGAACCGCCTCTTTCTAGTCTTCAGCATTCTGACAGTGACTGGTGAGTGCAGGTTTCTGTTTTGGCTTAAATTTTGAAAAGGTCATATTGGAGGAAAGTGTAGGAAATGGGTCTAGATAAGGTAGGCAGAGAATACATTACTTAGATAAAGATTTAGGACCCCAGCGATTGGAAGTTTCCTAGAACACTTAGAGATATCGACAGCCCACTGATTTTCCTCTGGCTCCATGGCACAAGAGAAGATTCTGACTGAGATAATAAGACTTGACACAAAGGATGGTGGGTGTTGGCAAAAGAATGTGATTTTGCTATACAGCTAGGAAGAAAGGTTGAAGAAAATAGAGAAATATCAAGAGGAAGGAAGGCAGGAGAAGAGGAGTGAATAAGGAGGATACAAATTCAGAAGAATGTCTACAGGAAAATTAACAGAAGGACCCTGAATGGTCCAATAACACCTCCTATATCAATAACACATTGACCATTTCAACCACTTTCACATAAAATATTTCAAACTTTTATCCTCTGGAATGTCTGCACCTATCTCTAAAATTCTGCTCTCCTTTCCCCTGACAGTGGTAACAGCAATCATTGTAATACCAACACCAACACAAGTAAAATTAGCCCAGCAGTTCAACCAGATGAGCATTAAAACTGCACCAACCTTTTTGGTTTTCCTGAATTCAGAATATAAGCCTTGTTTGGGGACCCTGATCCACAAACAGTGGGTTCTCACTGCAGCCCACTGCTTCTTACCGTGAGTAATAGGGGTCTCAGAAGGAGAAGTGGTCCCCCTTAGTCAATGAGATTGCTAAGGGGGTACTGAGGCTCAGCCCTGAAGAGACTTGCCCAGTGGCTCTCAAGCCTGACAAGTTCTTGGAAGGAGGCAGGAAGTAGATCTAGGTGGTTAGGAGTTAGATTTGTGGGTGAGACAATGTAGACTGAGGGAATTGGGGAAGCCCAGGGCTAGGGGATGAATCAACTGGAATAAAAAGGCTATATACAATGTGGTACAGATCAAAGAATTATAGAACTGCAGTAGCAATTAATTGCTCATTTGCCAGACAAGGGATGGAAGTCTTGACAAATTGTGGAAGGAACTCCTGCAAAGTCACAAAGCAAGCTGGGGGAGAAAAGATACAAGTTGAATAATAGAAAAACATCTTCTTCTACTAATAATCCTTCATGGCCTTTTCCAGATTTCTTGAAATAAACATTGCTGCTTCAAAAGAGAATTTCCAAAACAAGATGGGAAACTTAAGACCCATGCTTACTGTCCAACACCCAGATTTTACTCGGGATTCTGCTGAGCATGACCTCATGCTCGTCAAGCTGAATCATCCCCTAGATCTCCAGGATCAGGTCAAACTGGTGATTCTACCCAATACCACAAATGACAGAAGAGGGGAAAAGTGCACTGTCTCTGGCTGGGGCTGGGAATGGAAGAATTCCAGTGAGTAACCTCCCAAGACAGACTCTTAATGCTCCTTGAGTACCCAACCAAAGAGGATTATTGTACAACTATTACTATAGATTATGAGAGCTGGAAGAGCCCTGAGAACTTATAATATCTCAACCTCTAGTTTTATTCATTTGGAAATTGAGGCCCAAATTGGTAACATAGCTGTTAATGGAATCCAGTGTTCTTGCCTCATTCATCACCCAGGTGAAGGTTAAAGGGCATCTGGGTGAGTAAGGGATTGGCAGGTAATCCTACTGGTGATGCTGAGTGTGGCTCATTCATTAGAAACTTACCGACAAGCATTCACCAATAAAAGTATGTACACACAAGCCCAAGGCATGCAGTTTACAACACTGGGACCAGACCTGGTTTATTCATTTCATTATTTTTTCTTCTCTGGTTCCTTTTCATGTTGGCTTTTACTTTCACTGAATGATTGAGAGATTAATAACAGAAAAGAGGGAGGGAAGGGGAGAAGAAAGAAAGATAAATATGTGAAGAATCAAAGAGAAACAAAGCCTCTTCTCTCTCTCTCTCTCTCTCTCTCCCTCTGTGTATATGTGTGTGTGTGTGTGTGCACATGTGTCTGCACACTCATGTGCTCAGATACAGAACCTGATATACAAATAAACCAGACTGTCTTTTGGTTTTCTAATGATGGCTGCCAAGAGTCCCCTGTAAGACAAATTCTTATTAAAATCACAGAAAACATGTTCTGTGCGGGATCATCTCTGGAGAATATACACTCATGTAAGGTAACTGTTTTCCCTCTGCCCCATTTGGGTTTGGGGCTGTTTTGGGGTCCACATATCTCCCTCAACCTTTCTAATTTCCTGTCTCTACATTCAAGAAGAGATCAAGGTATATGGGATCCAGGAAGGACTGTGTCCTTCCAATAATGAATGAACTTAGATGCCAGGGTGGTAACATCTCAAAGTGTTCTTATTTCTTTATAACTGACTCTGATGTGGCCTAGGAGTGATTGGGTGGGCCCAAGATGTCCACCAGACATTTTCCCCAGTCCTTATCACCTAAGTCTTTCTATTCTGGGCCCTCCCTCCCCATTAGGGACTTGACACTAGGTCATCTTTGTTTTGGCCATCCTGTCTAACCTATCTGTCCTTTTTCTAACAGGAATTAGATGCTGTCCCAATCCTGTGCCAAAATCAGCTCCATGGGATCCTATCTTGGTCAGCAGGGTGTATTTTGAAAGGTGATATTGGCTACTACACCAAGGTTTCCCACTATACAGACTGGATCCGCAAAGTCATCCACAGCAACTGAGCTCTCTGTTCCCTCTCCCAGTGGCCTCAGAACTGGGTCTACCATCCTTGACCTTCTTTTCCCTCTAGCCTCAGAACAAGATGGGAATAGAGCCTTTGGTTATAAGAAATTTTCTGTCCCTTCTGGTTTTTTGACTTCTCTTATCCTTTCTCAATCCTAGCCTGAACGATCATCAAAGGATTTGAGCTGGATAACATTCTCCTAAAAAAGCTATCTTCTTACCACATTTTCCCCTCCTCCAAGTTCTTACTCACCTATTATGATTTCCTCAGACTTTTATGGAAAAGTTCTCCAGCCTCTACCCTCCAGAAGACATATGGGTATCAGAAATGTGGTGGTGAGATTGTGGCACCTCTAGGGTGACTCCTTTGTCTGACATCACTTAATTCTGAGTCAAGCCTGTGTCCTCTCACTCCATCATATTTAATAAGGCTCAGTAAATGCTGCAATGTTAAGTAGGCTGCTGGCAAATAACTGTTAAAAATAAAGGTTAGAATTTTATGCTAACAAGAACTATAAGGGTTTCAGAAAGGGTTAGGAGATAAAGCAGAAGGGGGTGCAGAGAGGAGTTAAATGGGTCAGATCTCCTGACAGATCTTTCCTAATGCTAAGCACAGAAAAATAAGGTAGATGGCTAGAAAGAGAATGCTAAAAGGATAATAGGGAAATACTAAAATCTAGATGAGTATAATTGTGTTTGTGTGTGTCTGCGAGTGTGCACCTGTGCATTTGTGTGTATAGATTGGTGGGAGGTGTGGCAAATAATGATCTCACTGAACCAACCAAAATCTATCCTATACCAGTTCTGCTGATTTTCTCCAAATCCTTCATTCACCTATTCTTATCCTACCTTTATCAATTTAAAATTTTTAAAAACCATTAAAATAGGTCCTATTAGGATAAGAAATTGTAAAAATATTACAAGAGAGTTTCTGTGTACCCAGTCTTGCCCCAATGATAATATTTTCTATAACCATAGTAAAATGTCAAAACCAGGAAATTCACATTGGTATGATGCTGTTCAATCAAATACAGATTTTATTTGGATTTCATCAGTCTTTCTTTACATACACTCTTTTCGAAGGGTGAAATTTGAAATCTTACTGCATACCTGGATTCCTGTAACCATCACCACAAATACGATCCAAACTATTCTATCACCATATCACCAGAAAGAAACTTCTTTGTGTTACACTTTAATAATCACACCTTCTCCTGGGGCACCTTGGGTGGTTTAGTTAAGCATCCAACTTCAGCTCAGGTCATGATCTTGCAGTCCGTGAGTTCGAGTTGCATTGGGCTCTGTGCTGACAACTCAGAGCTTGGAGCATGCTTTGGGTTCTGTGTCTCCCTGTCTCTCTTCCCCTCCCCCAGTTGTGCTCTGTCTCTCTTTCTCCCTCTTTTTCCCTCTCTCTCAAAAATAAACATTAAGAAAAAAACTTTTAAATAATAATCACACCTTCTCTTGACCCTAACCCTTGCAACCACCAATCTATTCTCCGTCACTATAATTTTGTCACTTTGAGATGTTCTATAATATGCAATCTATATAATTCCACTGATCTTTTTTTCAGTCATGATGTTCCAAAAATCCTTTCATTGGCATTTCCTTTCTATCTGAATAGTTTTTTTTTTTTTAAGCCATTCTTTTAAAGCAAATCTGCTGGTGATAAATCCTCTCAGTGTTTCTTCACCTTCTTTCTTGAAGGATATTTTTTAATGGATAAAAAATTCTGAGTTGACAATGCCTTTCTTTCAGAACTTGGAAAATGTTTGCCTCTTCCTTCTGTCCTTCAAGTTTCTGAGGAGAAATCTGCTGTCATTTCATTCATTGTTCCCCACTCGGGAATGCGTTGTTTCTCTCTGGCTCTGGCTGGTTTCAAAAGTTTTTCTTCATTTTTTCTTTTCAGAGATTTGATTATGACATGTCTGCATATGAATTTTTAAAAGTTTATTCTGTTTGGGGTACATTCAGTTTCTTAAATCTGTAGGTTTATGTCTCTTTCCAAGTCAGAGAAGTTTGAGCCGTTATTTCTTCAAATATTTTTCAGCTCAGTGTTCTTTTTCTTCTTCTGAAACTTTGATAACATGAATGCTGTCTTCTGTTACTATCCCACAGGTCCCTGGGGATCTATTCATTTTTTTAAACATCTCTTTTCCATCTGTTGTTCATATTGATAATTTCTATTGCTCTGTCTTCAAGTTCACCAACTCTTCTGGCTTGCCAATTTTACTATTGAACTCATTTTAATTATGTTTTAATTTTCTATATGTGTGATACTTTCACATCTTAGGAGTCTTACTGAATAGGAAAAGACTGCCCCTCCCCGAGCTGACTAATTCCTGGAGGTAGTAAATGACTTTGTGTACCTCATGCTTTTTATATGCAAACCAACCAATCCAGAGCTGTACCTCAACCGCCTCCTTTATCTAACATACATACACCAAGCCAATATTTCCTCTTCTCTAAATCACCCTAGGTCTAGGTACTGAACAACTAGAGATCACCACTGTAGATCAGAGTCTGCTGAAATTATTCAAACTGTTTGATTCTAAACTTGTTTCTACTTTACTACCCTGCCTCACCCATTCCATCTTTCAGAAACCACAATAAAGACTTGTGCCTATGCTTTCCTCTTGCTCCTCCTGCCTCCTCACTGACCCTGGTACTTCCTAATGTAGCCCTACATGGCATGGCATGTCTCTTAATAAACTCTTCCTTTTAAAAATGTTTTTAAGGTTTATTTATTTTTGAGAGAGAGACAGAGTACAAGCAGGGGAGGGGCAGAGAAAGAGGGAGACACAAAATCTGAAGGATGCCTCAGGCTCTGAGCTGTCAGCACAGAGCCTGACTCAGGGGCTCTAACCCACAAACCACAAGATCATGACCTGAGCCGAAGTTGGAGGCTTAACTGACTGAGCCACCCAGGTGCCCCTAACCTCTTCTTTCAATAGCATTGACCTGTCAGTGTTATCATTCAGTAACCTCCATAAATTAAGTCCTAGGTTCAGTTAAATCACCCATCTAATTAATTTTTTATTCAGTTATTATATTTTTAAATTCTAAAATCTCCATTGGTTTGTCTTTATATCTTCTATAAATCTTTGCTAAGATTTTCTGTTTCTTTTTTGATTCAAGAGTATTTGTAATTGCTTACTGGAACATTTTTATAATAGCTGCTTTAAAATCTTTGATAATTCCAACATCTGCATCATCTTGGCATCTGTTGACTATCTTTTCTTTTTTATTAAATTAATGTTTATTTATATTTGAGAGAGAAACAGAGACAGAGAGACAGAGCACGACTGGGGGAGGGGGAGAGAGAGGGAGACACAGAATCCAAAGCAGGCTCCAGGCATCTAACTATCAGCATAGAGCTGGATGCAGGGCTTGAACTCACAAACTTTGAGATCTGAGCTGAAGTCAGATGCTTAACAGACTGAACCACCCAGGCTCCCCATATCTTTTCTTATTTGAGTTGAAATTTGCCTAATATGGTGAGTAATTTTGTACTATATTCTGGGCAGTTAGATATCATAAGACTCTGATTCCTATTTAGATAGCCTAATTGAGCATGTAGTTAACCTATTAATGTCCTAGCCTGCACTTTTTTTTTTTTTTAAATTTTTTTTAACATTTTATTTATTTCTAGGAGAGAGAGAGACAGCGTGAGCAGGGGAGGGTCAGAGAGAGAGGGAGTCACAGACTGAAACAGGCTCCAGGCTCTGAGCTGGCAGTCAGCACAGAGCCCGATGCGGGGCTCGAACCCACGATCCGCGAGATCATGACCTAAGCGAAAGTCAGATGCTTAACCGACTAAGCCACCCAGGTGCCCCTGTCCTAGCCTGCACTTTTGAGGGCTGTGATTCAAATGTCAATTTGGTTTATAAAGCCTCTATAGTGTTATAGTAGGGAGTTGCAGTAGAGAGAATAGTGCCCCCCACCCCCACCTAAGTTGTCTATATCCTAATCCTTAGAAACTATTACTATATTACCTTACATGATAAAAGAGACTTCACAAATGTGATTAAGTTAAGAATTTTGATATGGGAAGATTACTCTGGATTATCCAGGTGGGCCCAATGTAATCACGAGTGTCTTTATAAGAAGAAGGCAAAAAAGTCCATAAAAAGAGGGGAGATGTGATCACAGAAGTAGAGGTTTGAGTGATATGTTTTAAGATAGAGAAAGGAACCATGAGCCACAGCATGCAGGCAACCTCTAAAAGTTGGAAAAGGTAAGGAAATTGATTCTCTCCAAAGTCTCCAGAAAGGTTTCCAGAAGGAAAGTGGCTCTATCGACCCTTTGATTTTAGCCCAGTAAGACCCATTTTGGCCTTCTGATTTCCAGAACTATAGGATAATAAATTTGTGCTCTTTTAAGCCACTAATTTTTGGTAATTTTTTACAGCAGCAACAGGAAATTAATATGCAGTAGAAGTTAGAGTTCTACTGCCAACCAGCCCTACTACTGCAGCACCACAGAGAAGAGGGCGTACATGGTTGTTTCATAGGATTTGTCTCAAGAACAAGGAAATTACCAATCACTTAGTGGTTCAAAACAACAAAAATTTGTTATTTCATGGTTTCCTTGGTTAAGAATCCCATGCTTCAATGTCTGATAAGGCTAAAGTCAAGATGTGCCAGCTACATCCCCACCTGGAACTTCAGGCTAGGGAAGGACCCACTTCCACCTCTTTCACATCGCTGGCAGGATTCATTTCCTTGCAGTTTTGTGACTAAGATCCCTGAGTCTTGCTACCTGTCGGCTGGGGGCCAAACTCAGCTCCTAGAGGCCATTCTCAGATCCTTGCCATGTAGATTCTTACATTTTAACAATAGAAAACCTCCCTCATGCCAAATGCTCCTCATGCTTCGAATCTCTCTGACTTCCCCTTCTGCTACCTGGCAGAGAAAACTTTTGACTTTTAAAGGGCTCATGTGATTAGGCCAGGACCACCTGGATAATGTCCTTGTCTTAATGTCCACCATGCTGTATAACATAGCCTAACCATAGAGGTCATGTCCATCAAATTCATAGTTCCAGGTCAGGCATGTGTTCGATGGCAGGAAACTTGGGCGGTACTTTTTAGAATTCTGCCTACTACA